CTTTCCATACAGGCACATCAAAGTTAGCAAGGGCTAACATATAAACACTTCAAGCTAATATACCTTCTTTCTGTGGGTTCGGTTTTAGAATTAACTATATATGGGACATTTCTCTAACACAGGATCCCACAATGGTAAACAAGGTGTGCAGCACAGTCCTCACTAAAGGGTTAAAGTAGTTACCCTTTAAGGTGATGAGGTTTCTCCTCCTCCACCTCTGCCTATCTTTGCTACTTTTCACCCACCTACTGTTCTACTGTTGTGGTGTGTGAAGAAAGTGCTGCTATCTTGGGTTTCAGCTCTCAGATGGCTTAGTGGATGATGTCTTTATTTAGTGTAGCAATGGAGACTCACAGGTATTCCAGGAAAGCTTCCAGACAGGTCTATTGATAAACAAAGTAATTGTGTACATTGACATATTAACTGATTCCCGACCACCCTATAGCAGAACTACTGCTACAGGGTGACAGGTGCGCAAAATAATGTATATATATGTGATTTTGTACTTCCGGGTAGTAGGCGCATGGGAGCCCTACCCACACCACTATTGGCGGCTTCAGCTGATGATCACTGAATCCTGGCTGGTAAACCATACAGATCTCTGCCCTGTCAGCTCCAGCACGCTGCTTTGTATAGCTCTGCCCAGTGCCATTAGTACCGTGGCAGTTCTTTTTATTAGCACTGATCACTGTATTAGTGTCACTCGGGATGTCAGTGACAGTTAGTCAGTTCCCCCCCCAGTGTCAGAATGCCCACCACAAACCCCACAGTCCCTCTTTAAGTCACTGATCTCCGCCATTACTAGTATAAAAAAAAATCCAGTATACTCTATATACCGCCATTTGTAAACCAATTAATTTACATATATTTGGATTTTTTTTAGCAAAGACATGTACCAGGGGGAAGGCTTTGGGACTGTCAGTCACGGGCACCGGATGGTAATTACCCCCTGGCTTCCGGTGATTACCGAGCATCTCTGATGGGGAGTTTGTTGTTTGCTAACAGTTCTCCTCCCTGTCAGCTCGAGCACACTGCTTTGGATGGCTGTGCACACTGGCACGGCCCCCTAGTAAAACACTCCCTGCACACAGTTAACCCTTTGATCGTCCCTCATGTTAACCCCTTTCTTCCCAGTGCCATTAGTACAGTGTCAGTGCTTTTTCTAGCCTTGATCACTGTATTGGTGTCACTGGGGATGTCAGTGACACCAAATCAATTTCCCCCAGTGTTAGAATATCCGCTGCAGTACTACTATAAGTCGCTGATTGCCGCCATTACTAGTAAAAAAAAAAATTCCAGTATCTATACCATCATTTGTAAACTCTATAACTTTCACGTAAACCAATTCATTTACACGTATTGGGATTTCTTTTTAGCAAAGACGTCGCAGAATACATTTTGGCCTAAATTTATGATGAAATGTGATTTTTAAAATTTTTTTACTGGATATGTTTTATAGCAAAAAGTAAAAAATACAGTTTTTTTTGTCGGACTTTTTTTGTTTATAGCACAAAATATAAAAAATGCACAGGTAATCAAATACCACCGAAAGAAAGCTCCACTTATATTTCATTTTGGTGCAATGTTGCATGACTGCACAATTGAACGCAGCGCCATATTCCAAAAAATGGCCTGGTCAGGAAGGGGGGTAAATCCTCTGGAGGGCAAGTGGTTCATCAATGGCTTGTTAATAAACAGAGCCATGTTATCACCATTTTAATGTTGATATGGCAACCCCATGGCTTTTTTGATAAAGCCACATCACACTGTAAAAAAGTGTGACGTGTCTTTGGTTATCAAGACAGAAATTTCATACTGTGCCAGGATTTGATGTGGCTTGGTTTATTTTTGTTTTAAGCCAATTACACCTAGCAGTGGCACATAACTAAGTTTGATGACATTTTAGCAAAGGCATAATTGCTGTTTTTGCAAACCCACCTCCCAGCTCATCTGTATGCAGTATTTCCCATAGATATTAAAGCCAATGGGCATGCAAGAAACATTTTTTTTTAATGAAAAAAACTTTATTCAGCATTCAATTGGTAAAGTTGTAAAGAAATTGTCAACAATTGATGTTCTCATAATGTAACCTCATATAATTTATGTGTTATGTTTCAATTTTAGGAATGGATTTCGAGCTACGCTTAATTTTTAAAGCAATTGGCTTCTTCACCTTGATTGCAGTAGGAGTTCCAAGCAATGTAATCATTTTAGCAGTTTTTGTACACATCAGAGTTAGAGAAAAGAAGCTTCTACCATCAAATGCCATTCTAACCAAGTTGGCTTTGGTCAATTTGTTTGTTATATTTTCCAAAGGTTTTCCTCAAGCCATTCATGCCATAGGAGTTCGGAACATTTTAAATGACAGTGAGTGTAAAGTCGTTTCTTTCACATATAGATTTGTAGGGGCATGACCATATGTGTTACTTGCCTGCTGAGCTGCAATCAGTGTATTATATTAGCCCCTCCTTTAAAGACATGGCTCTTCTTAAAACAGAAAATTCCACCAAACATACCCTGGATTATGGTGTTGCTTTGGTGCATCAACTGTGCAATCTATCCATCTTGTTTTCTCCATGTTAAAGCCATAGGCAATTATACCACATCTGTATATACTCTTCACTTGGAATTCTGCAAACATGACTTTAGGAATTTTGCCATTTATGTTGCCAATGGTATAGCTATTGCACTACGTGATTTCTTCTTTGTAGGTACTATGACTATAGCGAGTTGTTACATTGTATTCATGCTTTATCGACATGGGAAGCAGGTTAAAGGTATACGAAGTTCAGACAAAAATTCTGGCAAAACCGCTGAATATAAGGCCTCACAAGCAGTGGTACTCCTTGTTTCAATTTACGTGGCACTTTTTGGTATAGACAGCTGCATCTGGATTTACACTTTAACAGCATCAAGCATTTCTCCAGCTATTTCAGATGCTAGGGTGTTCTTTGGTACCCTATATGCTGCTCTGAGTCCTATTGTGGTTATAAAAACTAACAAAAAAAATAAAAACAATGCTAATGTGTCATTCCAATAAAAATCTACTGTCCCAATCTGATTCAAACAGCAATGATAACTCAGCATAGCAGTTCGAATTTTGAAATCAACCAAAAGTAACTACAATAGTTTCAAGTAAGTGACTGACATAAGTGGCATGCAGTTGGGAAATGCTAAACCAGTGCTTCAGCAAATATTGCTCTGGTGATAACTATAGTCATTCACAGTATAATCTCAACATGATCAGTTACTTAATGAAACCTTTGTCTTGGATTGTAGTACATACTTGGTGATAGAAGCTGAAATGTTCATTCTAAATGTTTTTTGTAGGGCTCCTCCTTGAACAGTGCCCTCTTTTATTTGTGGAAACCTTTCTTTACACTAACGCAGTATCTTCTATATTCAGAGAAGTTTCAGTATCACTAAGAGAATAATGGCAAAATCACAGTGATACCAGGAGTTGGATAACAATATTTTTTTCAATCTTTAAGTCTTAATATACCACTCTCACTTTTTTATCCTTAGGTCTGCTTGGAGCTCCTGATATGTACATTGGGAAATTGCACTTCTGACTCCCTGCTGCATTGAAGTGGCATCTATGAAGGACACCAGTTTTGGTGATGTGCCTGTGCCCTACCTGACTTTGCTGTGGTATTCCCAAAAGCACAGTGATGACCTTTGTGTTGTACTTTATGAATGGCACAGCAGAACAAGAAGGACTGAGGTACAACACCAGGACTGGTGTCGTTCATGAATTGAAACCCTTTTCAGATTATCAAACTAGCAACTGTGAAAAAAAATCATAAAAGGTATGCGTTATATAGGACTTATAAAATAGTGCACAGTGGAATTCAAAAACCATAACTGTTCAAAAATAGTGCTAATAGATATATGAATACAACTGCATTGCAAATATGTAATGTGTAAATGGGTTCAATAACGTGCACAAAGCTCATTCAATTATTTCATACCAAAGTGCTCTGATAACATTATAATTTTTAGTCTTCACGTGTCTTGTCCTTGGTTGACTTCATCAGGATGCGCAATGGATAGAGCTATTCATGGTGCAATTCAAAAACCATTCTGTGCAAAAATAGTGCTAAAAATGAATGAATAAATCTTTGGTGCAAGCATGCAGCATGTGATCATTCAGTTCAATAAAGTGTACAACGTTCATTTCAATACTTCACCTCAAAGTGCTCTGAAAAAAAACTATGATTTTCCTAGATTGTAAGCTCTAACGAGCAGGGCCCTCTGTTTCCTCTTGTACCAAATTGTATTGTAACTGTAATGACTACCTTCATTTTCTAAAGCACTAAGCAAACTGTTGGCGCTATATAAATCCTGTATAATAATAATTTTCAATTTTCAAACATTTCATCTTTGGTTGAGTTCATCAGGAATAGGGCTGCTACTGATGAAGTCAACCAATGAGGAATTGCATTGACAGAGCAACACACAATGACATCATCATGTTCTTGAGGGGGAGGTGCACACACACTCTGGAAAGATCTACAGCGAGTGGGTGTCCTGTTCCCAATGTCAGCCTATGCTGTCATATCATCAGTACTGAATGAGGCACTGCTGCTCTGAGTGCTTTTATGCTTTTTACTTGATACTAATCACAATAAACTGTGTTACCTCATTAATTGCTTCTGTTTCTGCCTAATTGTATAGTACATAAAATCATGTTCCCCAAAACTTGCAACCAGAGATACCAAGAGGAGTGAACCTAAGCTTTTTTTAAACAAGTTTTTATACAGCTAGTAACATCAATTTGGTGAGATTGTTTTCTGTTGGGGAGGTCTCTGTTGGAGGAAAAGGGTGTTGTCTGCCTATAAAATTACCTAATATCCTTAACCTCCCTGGCAGTATTCCCCGAGTGTAGCTCGGGGTAAAGTTTCAGTACCACAAAGCGGTAACCCTGAGCTACACTCGGGCTTACCATGCGGCGCTGCTCAGGGATTCCCTGCAGCGCTTACCTTGTCCTTCGCTCCTGCCCCTGCAGTGTCCCCGGCCATCTCCTCCAGCCGATACCAGCATCCGGCTTCCGTGTTCTGGTCCCTTCGAGCTTCAGGGACGTATGGGGACATACGGGGGGCCGGAACCAGCGGCAAATTAAAATTTTTTTAAAAACTGTCATTTTCTAATAATGAATATTACATAGTAAAACATTACTGTTTCAAAGCATTTCACATATATTTTGGCCCTAGTGCTTTGTCCTGTGCCCTGCCTGCATTTTTACTGTTCTTTCTGCCTGGAAACTTAGAAAAGTCCATGGCGTCCAAAAAGCGTCCCTTTATGTCAAAAGCAGTTTTAGATTAGCTAGAGAACAGTGATAGTAAATCAGAAAGAACCACTTGCAGAATTGAGTGATAATGATTCGTGGGGAAATTCGTCATCAGACACTGAAAACCAACCTGTGACTGAGCTCAGTGATGTGCGAACTTGGCGCTATATTTCAAATTTCAGTGTTTTTGGTTTGATTATATTATTGAATTAAATGTATTATTATATTATTATTATTTTTATGATTATTTATTAAATTATAATTTATGATTTTCGTGTTTCAAGTTTTATCCTACCCGGCTTGTTTTTACTAGACTTTTGTTCGGACAGATTTCAGTGAGTTATTCCTAAAAATTACAGGCCTACAATAAAAAAATGACATATTTCCATGCAAAAAAATGTACCGCTTTCAGCACAGAAATATGGACATAATCAGACCACTAGGGAGGTTAATAGGAATATCATACCATGATGGAAGTACAGTTCCCCACTGTACATATCAGGAGCTTTCAGCAGAACATAGAAAGAACCTGAAGTAATAAAAGAGGGAGAGTTGTAAAATGAGAAGTAAAGATTAACTGCTTCGACCCGTGTTGACGGCCGGGTGGGAGCCCTATTGTTCTGCAAGAGCAATATATGATGTCCTCCCCAGAACGCACCTCGCACGGGCCCACTGAGCAGCGCTCCAGTGCATTTGGTCACCCACTGTGTCAACCGGACACAGCAGATGGATGATCAGTTATACTTGGTGGGCCCACTGCCAGCACAACACCTGATCACTGTGATAAACCACAGCAGATCACATGACAATTGTAAGCAGGCTTCGAGATTCGTGGCATTCATTGTGTACAGTTGTGTTTTGCTAGCTGTGGTTGGTCCACAGTGATCACTTGGTACAGTCAGGGGCCAATCGCAGGCCCATCTGTTCATGTGATTTAGCTGTGCCAATTACAGGCTAATCACATATACACACTGAATGAATCGATTTTCATCAGTAAAAATGTTTTGCGTATAGCAGTGAAATTTTCACTGCTATAAGCAATCATAGTGCGTAGAAAAAAAAATCCCCAGAGTATTACACTGTTAATATGGTAAACAGATGTAATAGAATACATTTTGGCCTACATTTTTAAAAAGAAAGATAGTTATTTGCCAAAATTTTAAAACAGAAATGAAAATATTTTTTTTTCAAAATTTCTGACCTTGTTTAGGACCAAAAGTAAAAAAAAAACCAGTGGCGATTAAATACCACCAAAAGAAAGATAAGCCTCTATTTGTGTGAAAAAAAAAAGATAAAACTGATATGGGTGCAGTGTTCCCATGCCCATGAAATCATCACTCAAAGTGTGTGACATGTGCTGAAAGCTGAAAATTGGGCCTGAGCAGGAAGGGGTGGAAAGTGTCCAGTTTTTGAAGTGGTTAAATAAAATATTATTGAAAAAAAAAGTTTTCAATAGCTGTACCTGGATAGGTATTTTAAATAGCAAGAACTAGTCAATGACTGGTCCCTCATGCAAGTTCTGCATAACTGAGTTTAAAATAATAAAAATTGTTCTGCCTTGCATAGATTAACATTTTCCAACTTTGTTAGATTTACTTACTTTCTGTGAGTTTGACTCAATTTGAAAAAAAAAAAATAGATATATTTAGATTTTTTCATATGCCTAGTACAAACATCCATAACTTACACAAATACAAAAACAAGTTAGAAGAAACAAGGAAGCACTGGGGATGTCTGAGTCACCCTAAACTGTAATGACTTGAGATCCACAGCATCACCATGGAATGAACACTTCATTAGTGCCTATGTACCTATGCCTAAAACAATTATCGACATGTTGAATGCCAGAGGAGCTCTCTTCTTGGGCAGTGGAATGCTTTAGAAAACTCCCTATTGGTTTTTCAGAGTGGAAGGCTTTATAAAGTAGTAAGATGATACAAAATAAGCATTTCTGGGAGAAAAGTCTGAAGAAAGGTCTCAGGCATGTCTTGTGAAACAAATAAGTGGGGGCTCTGATTTACCTAAAGGAGATAAGGGTCTTCACACATAAATTGTGTGAATTTTACCTAAATTATCCAGCCCATGTATAACACAAATTCATATTTTCTTATTTCAACGTGCACATGGTAGGAATATTCAAAGTCAAACAGGAAATATGATTTTAAAAATATAGCTGTGAGCTGACTAAATTGAAAACACAAGCATTTCCTATATCAGCCCATAGATTGAGCCCATAGCGTTACAGGCTATAGCCTACAACATTGATCAAGTGAGGAAAATCGAACAGTGTGGTTTTGAACAGAAGTTGATCGGTAGGTCTATTTCTATACCATCTCAATGCCCATACAATTGAACGAAATTCAGCCTGTCCCTGCAGAGCCGGGCTTTTTTGCAGAAAATGCACTACAGTCCATTTAACATGGTGGCCTATGGAACATGTTCATATCTATGCTTTTTTGAGCTGCTGTGCTTTTGGAAAGGGTCAGGGACTTTTTTAGAAGCAAAATGCAGCGTTTTTGCTACAATAGAGTTCAATGGAGAAGCTGCTGAAATGCATGGTAGTGTGTTTTTGCTGCGTTTGTGCCATGTTTTGCATTTTTATTCTGCCCAGCAAAAAAAAAATTCCACTTTAAAAAAAAAAAAAAACTGAACAAATTGCAAAACGCAGGGGTAAAAACGCGTCAAAAGCACACACAAAAATTCATCAAAACTCGTATAGAAAAACGCAAAACAAACTGCGAAAAGCACTGCAAAACGGAACAAAAAGCAAACTGCACCGGTGTGAACAGAGACTAAATATCTAATATCTTGGCTGTTAAAGCTGGGTATACTCTATATGATTTGATTTTACAATTTCATTTAGATCTGTCAACTATGTACTTCAAGGGCCTGCCTAATTTGACACAAATTGAATGAACTGCAGATTTTTGTATAGTTTTATTACATAGTTTTGTTACATTTAAAGAAGATTGTACAGAGACTGTATAAATTGATTGTTTGTGGCCAGCTTTGGGGATACATTGACCACTGTTAACTGAGCTATAGCCGAATGACGGCTACAGCGCGGTTGTCCAGTTCTGGGAGGGCGTCATTTGACATCCTCTGAGATTGTGCCCTCCTGCGTACTCCCCAGCGGTGTGCACACCCCCGGCGATCTCCGTGATCACAGCTGGCCTTTTATCAAGTGATCAGCTGTGTCCAATGGACACAGCAGATTACAGAGTAAATACAGTTGCCGGTTTATCGGCAGCACTTTGTCTCAATGCTGTCACAGTTGTGAGTAAAGTACTGCGATAACTGGCAACTATCAACAGTGCAGATTGGCACTAATGATCAGTGAAATGAGGATCAGTTGCCATGCAGTGCCACCCACCTGTGCCATCCCACAGTGCCCAGAAGTGCCGCCAGTCATTGCCAACCTCTCAGTGCTGACATCAGTGCTGTCAGTCAGAACCGCCCATCAGTGTCACCCCATCAGTGACCATCCATTGCTGCATATCAGTGCAGCATCAATAAGTGCCTCCTTATCAATTGCTCTCCAGTGCCGCCTCATCAGTGCCCCACCTCATCAGTGCAACCTATCAATGCCCATCAGTTTTCCATAATCAACCTCCATCAGTGCCCATCTGCTGTCAGTGGGCCATTCGGTGTTGCCTAATAATCGCACATTCAGTAGACGGGTTAAAAAATTAAACCTTAATTGCAAAATTTTATAATTAGAAACAATAAAAAACAGTGTTTTTGTATATAGTGCAAAAAATAAAACACACAGTGGTGATTAAATACACCACCAAAAGAAAGCTCTATTTTGTGTGAAACAATTGATCCAAAATTTAATACTGGGGTACAATATTTCATTCAAAAGTGCAACAGCGATGAAAGCTGAAAAATTATGGACTGGGGCCAAGGCGATAAAAGCGAACGGTAAGCAAGTGTTAATTGCATTAAATTTTTCTGAAAACTTCCTCTAGTAACACAAATCTACAAACATCTATATTTAATTCTATAATGCAGTATGTGGCGATATTCCTACAACCACCTTCCACTATCTTTTCACTTTTAAATAAAAAGAGATTTTGCTGATCTAGGTAATTTTTATGTCTTCTTTGAATTTTCATAACGTAAGTATGCTGAGACCAGAGATATAATGGTTATGATTGATTTGATCTTTATTATACCACTGGGAAATTGTTTTAACAGTGAACACAGCCCTAAACTGTGTTGCCACATTGACATTTTAATCACTTGACTTTAATTGCTCTTTTCCTATGTGGATTTATAAGAATATGGGCATGGAAGGAAAAAGTTTGTGGATGATGCCTTTTCATAAGTATCTTGGTTTGCTGCTAATATGCGCTCCATACATGTGTGGTTCCGAGTTATCCAGGCAATTAAAATAAACCAATAATATAAAACCGATCCATTAACTTTATGATCTAACAGCATTTTTACATTTATTGTTATATTTTTTGATGCTATCTTACTGCGACATTCATAGTTCAAAAAAAACTAATAAAAAACTTTAAAATAACTCTTATTTCTTCTTATTAGTAAATTCAACAATACAATAAAACATGTAGTATGAAGGGTACCCCCCAAAATAAAGGACATATAATACTTACTGGCAAAGCTTTTAAACTTATTTAAGATGACATGGTCATATGTAGTGATGAGCGAATTCGAACCATGACGTTGTGGAATTTTGTTTCGAATGATTTAGGAAAAAAAATCGGAATTTTTCCCAAAAATGAGCGGCGACATGTGTGGTGACGAGAGCGGGGATCTCTGTGAAGACGCGCTTGACCCTACTGCATTTCATTCATGACATGTGATCGCTCATTTAGTCAATCAGCAGCTAGCCACCAGCACTGTGTAATGGTGGAGCTATAAATCGCGCGACCCATCCTTAATTCTCCATTAGCCTCCAGGTCATTCAAGAGAGACAGACCTGTCTGTATTAAGGGACAGAGTTAGGGGCCACAGAGACCTTTAGGTGCCACTGAATAGTTACTCAGGGTCACAGAATCGTTACTCAGGACACAGAATCGTTACTTAGGGACACAGAATTGTTACTCAGGGACC